AATCCTGTATACTCCAGACGGCGGCGGAGGATCGCACGGACTGTTTCCGGGGGTGGTTTTGGGAGAGGGAGCCGGTATAGCTACGGAGCTGTGGAGAATACTGCTGGGAGAGCTTTGGTGGGTTGGAGGGGCAATTGAGATGCTATGGTATGTTTGATATCTCGATGTTTTCTCTAGAGTGCTGAGGATTGACTCCCGAGTTCTAATTCCTATATAGAGCTCGCTGTTAGCCCCCAAATAGCTACCCTCAAGCTCCTCAAGCTCCTCAAGCTCATCAGCTCCTCAGGTTCTCAAGCTTCTCAAGCTCATTGGCCCCTCAGCTTCTCAATCCACGCCCCCTCAAACGCCCTAAAGCACCATCCAAAATGAGGGTCTCCGCCACCTCCCTCATCCTCCTCCTTCCCTTCTCCCTCGCCGCCTTCACCCACCCAGGCCTCCTCCACACCGCCTCCGAGTTCACCTTTGTCGCCAGCAAAGTCGCCTCCGGCGCCCAACCATGGACCACAGGCTTTGCCAAACTGACGGCCAATTCCCACTCGGCCTCCACCTACACGGCACGGCCCGTAGCCACCGTCTACCGCGGCACCAGCAGCCTCGGCACCGAGAACTACTCCCTCCTCTTCAATGACATGGCCGCCGCATATGCGCTCGCGCTGCGCTGGAAGATCACCGGCGACACCGCCTACGCCGCGGCCGGCGCCGCCGTCATCGACGCTTGGTCCTCCACGCTCACCGAGATCTCGGGCAGCTCCGACAAGTTCCTGGCGGCGGGCCTGTACGGGTTCCAGTTTGCGAACGCGGTCGAGATCCTGCGTGGGTACAGCGCATGGACCGGGTTCGCAGCGGCAAAGGAGGTCCTGCTGGACGTCTTCTACCCCATGAACCGGGACTTCCTGCTCAACCACAACGGCGCGGCCATCGACCACTACTGGGCCAACTGGGATCTGTGCAATATCGCGAGTGCGATCGCCATCGGCGTGGTCGCGGATAACCAGACCATCTACGACGATGCCATCGAGTACTTTTACCACGGCGCCGGAAATGGCGCCATCGAGAAGGCCATCTGGAAGGTGTACACTGGCGCCGACGCCGGGCTTGCGCAGCTGCAGGAGAGCGGGCGCGACCAGGGCCACGCGATGCTCGTGGTTGGGATGCTGGGGACGATTGCAAAGATGGCGGACAGCCAGGGCGTGGACCTTTTCGGCTATCTGGACAACCGCATCCTCAAGGGCTCCGAGTACGCGGCAAAGTACAACCTGGGCAACGACGTGCCGTACACGACCTACACCAACAGCGACGTGACGCAGACGGTGATTGCGCCCGCGAGCAGGGGCGACATCAGGCCCATCTGGGAGCTGCTGTACAATCAGTACGCGGTGAAGAGGGGGCTGTCGGCGCCGTGGACGACGCAGTATGCGGCGCTCGTCAGGACGAATGGAAGCGGGTCTGAGGGCGGCGGCGGGAACTATGGCCCCAACAGTGGCGGGTATGACCAGCTGGGGTATGGGACTTTGATGTTTTCTTTGTAAAGGGGGAGGGGGGTGTGAATGCTGTGGTGTTGAGTTTTTTTTTGCATGTGGAAGTAGTTGGGTGAAAATATTGTTGTGTATGGGTAGTTTGAAAAAATGATCATTGGCTTTTTTGCATATCAGCAGTGAGTGCGGGCCGCAACAACGCTTATCGTGCAGAAAGCTTAGCGGTGAAACGGCACCCGCGCGCAGTCATTGGCCGTGTGTGCGCAGAGTCTCTCTTCTCGCTTCTCGCTTCCCTTCCTTCCTGATCTCCTTCCTCTTCCTCTTCCTCGTCTCGTCATCACCAGCTTTGTGGCGTCCGAGTGACGTTTCATGACTGCATAGTACATGTAGAGAACATCTCGACAACACACTACCACAACTCATTGTTTCCTGACCGCTGGATTAGCTGATTGGAGCACTTGTTCCTCGCAGATTTTGTAATCCTTACGTCACGCTCTATTCGTTGTTGCTGCTGTTGACGAAGTTATGTATCTGTCTAACTGTACCATATATCACCACCACACAACAAAAACAAGCCAGCCCAGCCCGCCAATCAAACACAGCCATGAAGCCTCGGTTTCAACCAAAACACCAAGCCCATTCGGCAATTAAAATATGGGGGGGAATTCACATCCCGGCTGGCGGGAGGGGGGAAGGAGAGATACCGACATGAACACTAAACTAAAAAAAACTACATATCTAGCCACCTAGGTACATGTAGCTAACGTCCTTCACGGATAAACAAAACAAAACAAAACAAAACAAAAAGGAAAGAGTACGTAGCGGACGGGGCGCACCTCCGATACGATACTCACCGCTCTCTAGCTCTCCGCGACCCGACACCAGAGGAGAGGAGCTCCATCCATCCAGCCAGCCATCCCGCTCCGCTCGTATGTAGTCGTATAGTCACGTAGTGTAGTGTAGTGTAGAGGAGGAGTAGTGTAGACTGTGACGTGCATAATCTAGCATAGGCATAAGCAAAGCATAGGCATATGTAAACGCTCTCCACACTGCACTTCTTTCTTTTCTTCTTACCTGCCTGCCTCTCTACTATACATGATACCATATGCCTATACTCTAGCTAAACTCCGATACGTCCCCCCTCTCGTACGGTTGGAATACCTACCGGCCATCTTGATTTGGTTTTTTTTCTCGGTTTTCGAAATATCCTGTTCCCCCCCGCCTCTAAACAAGAAAAGGCGCCCACGGCCAACGAACGAGACGAGACGAAATGAAACAAAACGAACCTGCAGATTCGAAACTGGGCCCTGTCCTGCTATTGTTTCCTCCACCCCGCCGCTCGCCAGACAAAACAGCTCCCCCCCCCCCCCCACCAATGCAGTGCGACGGTGGTTGGGAAGGAGGGGGGGGGGGCTCTCCGAGGGAGGAGGGAGGGAGGGAGGGCTGGATGAATTCATGACTGGACCTATCTACCCTATCTACTCTATCTATCTCGAGTATCTGGGCGACTTTTTACTTTTTGCTTCGAAATTTCTGCATATTGCTGACCTCCCCACCACCCTCACTCCCCAACCCTATTCCACTCCACTCTATCCCCACCCACCCCACACAAACCCAAACCCCCGGGGCTGGAAAGGAAAGGGAAGGGTTGGGGTTATTGCTGCTGTCGCACAGAAGAAGAAAAAAGGCACCCCCCCTCCCCCCTTTTTTTTTTCTTCGACGACGACGACGGTTAACTTCGAAACCCGCCCGCGTAGCTTACACCATCTGCCGTGGTACGGCGGGCGGCCAATGGGGATATGGTACTCTACTGTGTTTTTGTTTTGTTTTTGGGGAGGAGATTTCCCGACGGGCGGAGGGGGGAGGTGTGCTGTGGTGTAGGGCCCGAGGTTGGGGAGTGGTGGAGTGTGGGGTTGGGTGAGGGTGTGGTGAGAGGTGTGGTGAGAGGGAGTGGGTGAGGCATGAGAGGTCACTCGGTTATGCCTTGGGAGGGTGGGTAGTGAGTGGTGGTTGTGGGAGGGCTGGCTGGTACCAGGCGACTTGTGGGATAGAGTAGATTTCCTGGGATAGAGTAGATTGCCTGAGTTAGGCAGGGGGGGGTAGGTACGAGATTCTGAGTTTTTTTCTGCCTATGGGTCTAATTCTGTCTACATGTATGTAGGTACGTACTGTACGAGGTACATACCAACTAAGTAGTCGTTCCGATCATTGATACCACTGACTAACCACCACCATCATGATCATCACCACCACCATGTCACCACCGACCCGCCTAGCTCCCGCGTCCTATCTCCGACCTCCTTCCCCACGCGGAGGTCGAGTATGTAGAGTACGTACGTACTACGTGATGCATCGTATCTCTCTCTCTCTGTACATACCGACTTCTACTCTAAGCTCGGCCCGGCAAGTAGGGGTAAAGATAAAAGGTATAGTGAAAAAAAGTAAGATTCATGCATACACATTACATCTCTCGGGAGAGGGAAAAAACTCTGAATGGGAAATAAAAATAAAAATAAAAATAAAGCTCTCAGTCCTCCGTTCCGTAATCTACTCTGCCGTGCCGGCGGGTGGTGCATAAAATATATATGCACTCTTAATTGCACCTTACCCTACCCCCTACCCTACCCTACCCACCCTACCACAGTAATATATTATGGGGTACCTGCAAAACAAAGTTTCTTTCTTTTGTTTTTTCAGGAAAAAGAAAAAAAAGAAACAATACGGTAATGGCGTAGCTACAAGTCGTGCATACAAGGAAATGGAGAGGGAGGGATGGAGACGTCACTTTAATTCCCGGTACGCTGGGTGGGAAGAGATAGAGAGGTACTCGACATAGAGAGGGTGGTCATTCTGCATGCCGCGGGCGGTATTGGAATTTTTTTCTAATTGGCAAGCTTAAGGCCGAGGAAGTAGAGTAAGTAGGAAAAAAAAAAAAGAAGAGTTTTGAAAACCCGGGTACGGGTGCCTTTTTGTGGCGGCTGTTTTCTGTGGTTTTGGTATTTTAGGAGAGAGAAGAGTAAAAATGTGGTTTAGGTAACAGTATGGGGTACATATGTAGCCAGTTATGCAGTTAATTATATCCCATTACTACATGTATTAATGTGATGGACACCCTCAAAAATAATGAAAAGTGAAAAATTAAAAAAAAAAAGGTCCCAGCATTAATTCCATTGCCTATAAACAACGGCGTCTAGATCCTAATTAATTGTACGACCTATTAAATCTATCGGTATCCCTAGATCCTTCTGCTGCCGCTCTGCTCCTACCGGCATGAGCAGCATATATCCTGTTCTCGCTCTATCTCACCATATATATGACATCCAATATCTAGCTAACAGCTAACCAGATTATAGCTATAGATGGGCCGTGCACATAAGAACCAGTGCGGGTTCGCATTTCATGAGTTGATTAATAGCTGCTGCTTAATCGCTATCATGTCGATTGTTTTGGGTTAATAGCTGCTGCTTAATTGCTATCATGCCGATTGTTTTGGGCCTTGCTTGCTTGCCGTGACCATCAAGGTCCTCAGTTGATGATCAGGAGCTGATATACACGTGCACCTTGGGGCACGCCTTCGTGGTACGTAGCCCTGTGCCTACTTAGCTAATAGAAAGCTAATATAATTTGCCTGGTTTGACTTGCCTGGCCTTGGCGGGTTTCTTGATAGCAATTCCTTGCTACGTATACGTGTACGCATCATTATATTGAACCTCTCCCCTAAACCACATTTTATGGGGCTCGTACCGTTTTCACAACTAGCCAGCTCCAGGCCGCATAGCGTAGCAAAAAACAAAAGTTCTCAAAAAACAAAAACCGAGAACAGGTTAACTAACTTACCACCTCTCCTTCCATCTCTTCCTTCCTTCCTGATACGTACAGGCAGCACAGCAGCCAAAAAGAAAAACAAATATCCACAGCCTTACCTTTACTGCACATATGTAAAGCCTCATCATGCTTGCTCATGCCATGACACCTGTTTTATCGAAACATAAAACGTGCGTCCCTGCCCTCCCCTCCTATTCAATCAATTCCTACCTACACCCGCAGAGCGCAGCATTTCCTGTATCCTATTATTATTATGTAAAAAAAAGCACGTTGTCCGTCCAAAGATACCCGCTTTGAGGAATTGATCTCCCCTGGTTTTTGTTTTTCTTTATGAAGGGCCCTCGAGCTCGAGCACGTGGGGCTGATCGTAGTTGTGGTGGTGGTGGACAAGAAAAATGGAAAACGATGTTTCCGGCGCCGAAGTGGAAGAAGAAATAATTTTTTCTACTAAACTGGGCGGCCGTGTTAGGGTGAATGTTCCAGTAGGAAGGAGGTTAGTTAGATACCTAGGGCTAGGGTACTCTAACTCTATGGTGCGGAAAAGGTCCCCCCTGCTGACTGTTAACTCAACCATCAAGGCTACTAAAATCAAGCATCATCGATCAACCATGTCCAGAACCACCATCACCACGCACGTAGGTAGAACCTGGCTGGCCAGGAACAAATTGTTGTCAAGTTATTTCGATCCCATCACCCCAGTGACTGCTAAGTCTAGGTGAAGATAGGGTTTAGAGCCTCCGAGAAGGAAGAGTGCGAATCGGTGATCCCATGGATGAGTCAACGGGGGACTACCGTGCGTGTGGATGTGGTTTCGGAACCAAGATCGCGCCCTCCCACCCTCCGGAGGGGGCGCTATCGCCAAGCTGTTATGGTGAGAGCATAATTCCACCTCACCACCTTGCTGGATGGATGGTGGACGGTGGATAGTGGTGGTTACGTTTGCGTATGGCTTGTTCCCTGGAGGTTTCCATGCCTGCCCATCCAACCATCCATCCAAACCAAATCCACTCAGGGCCAAACGCCATTTTTGATTCGAACTCCCCCTTCCTCGAGTTGATAATCGTGGTTGATGAAGTGTCATTGCGCAATAAATCTTATAAATTGCACAGGATTGAATTGGAGTTGAGGCCCTTTTTGCCCGTTCGTTTGCAGGCCCCGTTGGAGAGTAGAATAGGTAATGTAGCTGGCTAGCTAGCTAGATAGGATTGTCGTTGTTGATGGATGGCTACATACAGTAAGCGCTCCTCTTCGTCCTCTGCCTACCAAGGTTCCACGGCCAACCGCTTTTTTCCTTGTGTTCCCATGGGCTGTTCTGTTCACGGTCCTCGGACGAACCTTAGGACCGGTAGAGTACTCTCTATCTACGAGAGTCTCTCGCCTCGTACCACTGTTACTAAGTAAAGTAGACCAAACCTCCGCAAAAACCCCGTAGTAATTCCCAATGTGCGGGTTAACGCGCTTAGGAGAATTAGAACGGATGATGACGGAGGTTTATTTTCTTTTCTTTGTTTCCCTCTAGCTCTTAGCTCTGGTAAGATTCGTGTTATTTACGGAGCCGGAAGTCGAAACCTGGAGAAGGAATGATACGACTACCTCATACCCCGTGGGATTGAGGAAGGAGGGGGGGGTAAAACCAGGAACACTGCCCCCCCCCATGCCCCAAGCCATTAGCACCGGAGCCTCAGGGAAATCAGGAACGGGCCAAGAAGGAGAAGAAGGAGGCTCCAATATGCTGTAAGGAGGGCTCGCCTCCTATGCCCGCACTCAATTGAAATGCCACCGGCGGCATCTTAACTCCACAAGGCTGCGATCTGTCTACGGCTCGTTTTACTGTTTGTACCTTTTATGTCCGAGAGAGGAAGAAAAACGAAATATAATTAAAAAAGGAATAAAAGAAAATACATGAAAGAGGCTCAAAGCTGACTTGCCCTGTACTATGTCTGAGCGTAGGCAAGTCTGGACAGGAACAGGACACGGGAGCGGAACAAAGCCGACAGGGGTGTTCCTGTAAACATTCTCCCCCTGCTGTCTCCCCTTCCCTTCTTCTCCCTCTCTCTCTCCATCCATCTGCGGACTTTGCGTCATGCAAGTCATCCTTTGTTTTTTTGTTCTTCCCCCCCCCCCTGTCCAAGGCGACGAATCAGCTTCTCGATGGGCGGTCCTCAAGTACCAGTGCCAAGGGGGGTGGTGAGCAAATCATCCTTCACCTTGACGTTTCGTTTCAATCAGGGAGCGACACAACAACAATAACAAGGAGAGACCTGTAATAGAGAGAGGATGGAAAGGGAAAGTACCAATCCAATGTACCTGCCGCTCTCTCATACGTTCCTTCTTTCCCGGTTCCGCGAGGGTCTGAGATCGATGATGGTGCAGGGATATATACATTCATTGCCAGAGAAAGGCTTCTATTCAATTGCTTGATCGAAGTGTCTCAGAATAGTGGGCTGAAGGAAAATCTCAGCAGCAAGCACAACAAGCGAAGCACGAAAAACTTCACTTTTGCAGCGATATTCTCAGCTGATTCGGTCGCTTTGCGGTGCGGGCCCCAGAGGCATGGATGGGTACATTCAATATCGCTCGATGTGCATGAAAAGTGTTTGGTTTGGGTATTTTGACAGGTCAACCATGGGAAATTTTTCATGACTCTGGCGCTCCGCCAGTATGGGGGATCTTTTTTTTTTTTTTTCCTTCTCTCTCCTGCCTACTTGCTTGACGTGACTCCAAGAACCCAGTTTTACGCGCTCTGGGTACATACATTACCACTCGGATAAACCGGAAAGGATCTCTTTTGCTTCATTCTTGTTTAAGCGACGAATAAATGCAGTGGAGATATTTGGAACAAGTCATCTTTTTTTTTCGCCTTTCTCCAATGTGCGTTGAGCATGAAGGGAACCAAGGAGAGGGAGAGCAGAGGAAGAAAGAAGGATGTATGTAGGCTGGTAGGCAGGCAAAAAGGCAAGGGCCAGGGTGTCAATCTCCCGCCATGTACTGGGGTTTGATCTACAGCCTTGTGTGTCTGATTTGGCAAAATTCCAGACTATTTTTCTGTGCTGCGCGTTTGAAGGGATTAACGATGAACCTGAAGGATAGACAACCGGCCGTTTCTTCAAGTACATACGGTTTGACGGATGGGATGTTGCAAATGCCAGGCTTCCCTTACGGTCGTGAAACACGCCTACTTTAACCTTCATGGTACTCCGGACTTGGTTCTCTCCAAGACAGAAAAAAAAAAACTCAAGACGTTTCCTTCCATGCACATATCTTACATGATACATACTTTAAAAAGCACAGTATGAAGCAGGCAAGCAAGCAAGAGAAATTGATTGCGTGCGCAGTCGTACGTATTCTACAGCACACTCCCGGTGCCAAGAGAAAATAAAGCGCACAATATATCCTTTCCATGGTCGTTGAAAGAAGGGAAGCAACTCAATTTGAGTCATGGCTATCCTTACTATCTGGGAGCATATCCGTAGGTACACCACAGTTCTAGGCCGTACTCTATCGGAGTTTGCAGGTGCAGAATTAACAACTGTTGTTGCTGTATGGGGCAAGCCTAGTCTAGCAAGTAGTAGAGATATGAATATTTACTCTAGCTAGCTACTGTAGCCACCTAGGCAGGCAAGAGGCATAAAACGTCCAAAATCTGTACGACCTTTCAAAAACCATACAAGCGTCTCCATTTTCGGGGTCCGGCTACTTACAATTCCCCTCCCCAGACACGTGGTGCAGCAATGCATTCCCGTCCGCTTCCTTCCGACCATCAATCTGAAATTTGCATCACAACCTTGGATTGGGGACCTCTGCCTGGAAGAGCCACTCTAGGCACAGAAGTGGTTAACTAACTTCCTGATGATACAATAATGATACCTGATCGAATCATCCTAGAAAGCTAATTCAGTTGGCAAGGAATGGGGGGATGATTGATCCTCTGGATTGACTGGCTGTCTCCCGTGGCCGTGACTTTTTTAGTAGTAGTAGGCTAACCTACGTATCAGACAGCGAACTGCCAGCAACGTGCAACAGTGTGCGTAAGAGACGAAGCAATTGAAGGGAAATGGAAAGAGTAAAAAAAAAAAAAAGAATAAAAATTTGCAGATGTGCAGACCTACAGTACCCTACGTAGGTACTTCACTTGGTAGGGTACCTTAGACATCGAAGGAGGCAGTACAAAGTGCGCACGATGTATGGATGAACCTACCCGCCAATGCCCATCCGAAGAGACCGATGGTAGAAGAAGGAAAAGAAAAGAAAAAATTTGATCCTTTCCATTAGTACTGCTTGCGGAGAATCCTTACTGAACCCCCATCTTTATTGCCCACTCTTTCATCGTATGAGGTTGCCTGATAGCCCAACAACATATCAGGTCAGTACTTTAAAGTTCGTTGCCATTACCACCGAGCTGCTGCAGAAAAATATGTTCGATACCGGTTGTGAAGGATCGCCGACCGGATGAAACAGAGCCCGCGCTCGATCTCGGCGAACGTCACATCACAGCCCAGCAAGGAACTCAGCCAGGAACTTTTTAGAAAATTTTTCGCAAGTAAGAAATAATTTGGAGCAAAATGTGTGTGGTGATCAAACTTAATTTTTTCCCTTTCCCTGCCATATAATTGGCCTAACTATTCAGCTACTGGAGATCACCTCCAAAAAAAAAAATCAAAAAAAATCAAAAAAAAAAATCTAGTAGTTACAACGCCCTAATCGTACTCGAACAGCTCTCCTTATCCCCAAAACCCGCTAACATAGGAAATAAAAACTTTGAACATCGAAAGTCGTAGTATGTAACAAGAGAAAGAAACCAATTAAAGTCTTAGATGGCCCATCAGACGCCTTCCCCCTGCAACATAGCATAAGTAAAAGAAAGAGTAGGAAATGTAAAGAGTGTAGATGTTGCAAAACAGAAGCAGACCCAAATAGTTCACCTCTCCGAGATCATGTTAAGACATAGAATGGAAAAAAAAAGGTACGCCCCAAAATCTCCCATACGCACACACAATAACCTAGAAAACCGAACCCCGAACGTAAAGCACAAAACCGACAAAATAGAAACTTTTTAAAAAGACCCCGAAATATGCAGATAAGAAATGAAGATATAAAGAAAAGCAGCCCTCGATGCCAGCCAACTCCCAAAGCAGCGAGTCACCAGGAGAAGATATCGTTCGAATGCTGATGCGAATGGTATAGCGTACGCAAAAGATGAGATGAGATGTAATGTGACAATGCCACCCACAAAACCCGTAGTTAAAATATGTTCGTAAGAATCGAAATGATGATATTTTTTTTTGTGTTGAGACCCTTAAAGCCTCCCTCCCATCGTACAACCGCCCAAGTTTGTTTCTCTTGTCCCCAAAATTAAACCACCGTCATCCTTCGCTTCCAGTCCCTTACATGGTCGAATGAGCTGGCGTAATCCCTAAGCTCGCTCTTGACCTTGTCCGAAAGCACTGCCGGTTCCTGCTGTCCGCTGTAGCTGTTCAATGACGACAATGAGGTGCGTGATGGTGAGGTGTAAAGCTGAGAAGGGCGAGTGTTGTTTGGTGCGTACGGCGAAGAGTAGAGATTGGGAGGAGTAGATGAGATTGGGCTTCTTGATGCAGGTGATGAGGATGCTGAGCTTGACTGTCTTCCAGACATTGCGGAGAAGTTGAGCGGAGGAGGAAGGTAGAATCCAGCCCCGGTGCCCATGTTAGAGTTCTGCCATGAAGTTGTAGGAGTGGTAGTAGGTGATGATGAGCCGGAATTGCAAGAAGCGTGTTCGAGATCCGCCAAGCGGCACGATTGTGAGCAGTATGCTCCGTGACCAGATTGCGAGATCTCACGATCGCAAGAGAGACAGTAATCAGGAGACCAGTCCATTTTAGTGATGTTTATTGAGTAGTAGTGAAGGTTTTTTTTTTGGTTGTTATAAAACTTTAGCTGATTGATATTCAGCTATTTGAGACGATGTTCGAGAGTGAAGAATCGATCGATTGATTGTTGATTTGAATTGATGAAGGAACGAACTCAGTTGTTTTGGCAGAGTAGT